CGTAATCGGGCGTTTAAACCATTCGGCCACCGAGCTCGGTGAGTTCACTTGCAAATATTTTATTTCTATCGGACAGATTTCATTTATTAATTAACCGACCAGGGCACAAGTGACACACATGACTCCATTTCAAACAAGTTTCAAAATGTCTCTACTATACAATTGTACTAAAATTTCCATTCGCTTTTATATTCATCCATATATCCCTGTGGTTTACATAAAATACATTTAATGAATTATCTTTGTATTATGTTCCTATAACAGGCAATATAATTACATTACCTATGACATATTCCATAGAGTATTACTTTAGTTATGCGAGGGATATCCCTCAACAACAATCACTCGCACATATATAAAGGAGTTTTGTTTGAAAGGTTTCCCCATTACAATCGGTGTGAAATAGTTCCAAATGTCACATGAGTCCACATGTCTTGATTTTGGTAAAGATAACGGCGTTGACCCATTGGCTTGGCCAGGGGGGGGGGTGGGGATGTGGGGGTTGCAGACCGTACCGGGAGACAACATCTCAGGAGTGACACATAATTGAAAAATGCATATTTAAAGAGAGAAAAACTGCTCGGTCTGGCTGAATGTCATCAAATGTTGACCGCTCACATGCCAACTCCACACACACACGTAACCTATACACACACGTGCTTTATTAACAAGGTTGATGCTTCATAAATTGGGTTACCCTAGAATTAGATCAGAAAAGAAAACGTGATGACCTTGATTGAATTGTGTTGGGTAACTTTCTTGACTAGAAGCTATATTTATTTAGATTCCAAATACCATGTGGCCGAACCATTCTCAGTACATGAATGGAATCGGTAAAAAAAAATTACACTTTTCAAAATTACACTTTTCCCATTTATAGTTAAATAATAATATTTTTAAATTCTTTTTCTAATTTCTTGTACTTAAATGTAGAACAAATATTTATTCCATTAAAATATATTAAAACTAAGAAATACTCAAAAATAAATATATGTCGCCGCTTCAACACTAGCACCGCCCATTAACATTTGAGCACTATTGTCATACAGCACATGGTCTTTTAAATGTTGTCTGCGAGTTCACATGAATCTGCTACATTTCCATTTGCACTCATCTACTTTAGGAAGTTAATCTTATACAGCAGTTTATGCAGACCAAAGGCATTACTCTTGACAAAATGGTGTCAAACCTACGGGCCTCAAGATTGTCTCTCCTCGAGAACTGCTGTAACTTGGTGGAACATGCTATTGATGAGCTACGTTTTTCATAAGACATATTAGGAATTTCTGTAGAAATAAGATTAATGTTTAAGAAGAGATTGGCAGGAGAATAGTTAATAGATGCTGGACTCTCTGAAGAAAACAATATGGAGATGCTTGAGTGGAGCAATAGCTTTAATTCTGAACGCCAGATCAGACCATCTATGATCAAGAAAGTATCAGATATGTACGTTGAATCTAATCTTTTCTACTCATCGAGTTAAACTTATCTCAAAGGCACTTATTTTCCTATCCTTTTGAATCGTTTCTAATTTATTCGCGAAAAAGATAAACAAGAGCAAAACATCTGCTTTTTTAGTGGAATGCACTGACCTATAGCCGCTAGATATTACAGCAAAGTTGCCTTTAGCAGCTATACATTATAGCAAAATTCAGTGGCCTCTAACAGTTAGACATTATAGCAAAGTGCATGTAAGAGTAATGAATGATGCACACACTTCTGTGTTTGGTGTAACAACTCCTTTATTCTACATTATACATCCTTTCTATACTTCCACATTGATAATGCTCATTCCACTTGTCCACGCATATAAGTTTTAATCATTCGTGAATAAAAACAACTAACGACGTCCAGCCATACCACATAACAACAAAACAGGCCAATCAGGTCAAAAACTTCACTCTCTACTCAATATAATAATAATCAGTCATACAGTCACATCTCCCTCTTAACAATACAATCAATAGTCAATCAAGAAAACGCCTGCATTATATCAATAGTAATACTAAAACACCATTCAATACTTTGTATGCACAAGTAACTCAATTTGCAAAGCATGACACTGTACGCCTTACATGTCTCCATCAGGGAAGCGTATTGGTGGTTTCACTTGCCTGTAATATCTTGTCAGCATTTGTGCTGGAACAGAATGTGCTGGAATAGGAGTTAAGGCACTTGGTAGAGACATTTTCACTACAGTCTCTTTTTTAACAACAGGGCCGCAGACTACGAGTTTTAGACCTTGGTATTATTATTTTATAACTTGTGATTTTGAGCAATGGGTTGTGAGGCAGAACATTTAAAACAACATGCATAAAAGAAACGCATTTCATAAGAAACCCAATGAGTACTCTCCCACCTAATGCTTGAAACCGCACACTTTTACGGGCCTCTAAATGTATTAATATTCTAATGACCAACTCGCTTTTACACGGAAGTTTTCTTTCAAACATTATTTCTGTAAAAAAAAAATAACTATTATACAAGTACTTGGTATATATATATACATTATTTCACAATCTCATTTAGAGTAGTTATCTAGCACGTCATTTCATGAAATCATTGTCGTCATAGTTCCTTTAAATTTCCTTTAAAAACAGAATATACTGATTTTTGACTTCAGAGGAAGAATGCCGGTAAATTCGTACATATTTGGGAACACAATAATGTGTATACCTTTCAATTCTAAACCTGATTGAAAGTATTTGTCCCGAACGGAAGGATCCTAAGTATTTGTGATGAAAAGAATGACATGTATCATACAAAATTAGTTTAGGTTTAGAATAACATCTTTCTTCCATTAGTTTAATCAAGTAACTTTTTAGTTATGACTGAGATTGTGGAGATTGGTTTCAATCGGATAAATTATAGAGTTACTATTTAAATTTGTCACATTAAAATCGGTTTAAAAATGCCATAGATATAGCTTTTTTGAACTATCGAACTTTCTAGAAAAATCTACATCGGCCCTGAATGGAATGGATATTGCAAGTTTTAAATCGATCGACATTTTAATATGGGCTAAAACTCGTATTGCTACAAAGCTATCAAATTCACATAGAACCTATTTTGTTGTCTTAAGCAATTGATATTTATATAGCTTATATAAAATAAAAATTAAATGGGGCCCCCGGCCCATGACAGATGGACATTAAGAGTTCAATACCCTTCGATAATTGAATATGAGAAATCAAAGTTTCCTAATTTCACTTATTTTGGCGACTAAACAATCAAAAACATATATTGCAATGTCCATCGAATCAGCAAATCTCTTGGATGGTGGCCGAACAGCCAATACAGCACTATCTATCTATCGCACATATTCTGGTGAAGGTCTGAGATTACTCTCTTATGACCCCGGCTAGTAAATTGGCTATCAACTCCATCTGTTGAGCTGAGCCATACAACATTTCCCCCACAAAGGATCCTCCAACCACCCTGGCTTCCCCCGGGAGATCTAGTGTGGGACATTCAGTCAACAGATGTTCTAGGGTCTCTGGGGCCAGGCTGCAATGCCGGCAGGTAGGATCTCTGTTGTTATCCAACCTACAGAAATATGTGCGCAAGGGGCAGTGCTCGGTGCGCATCTGCGTCACTAAACTCTGCGATCTGCGACCTAACCCCCACCATGGGTCTTGTTTGCTAGGAGTGGGCAAATTCGAAAAGACGCCTCTGGTGGTCGTGTTGTCAGCCCATTGCCTGTACCACTTCTGCCTGAAGTGGTCCACCAGCCAGTTTTTGACTCCCTAGAAAGTCATTGGTACTTCTGGCTGAGGCTGGGCAGCCCCGGTTTTCGCCAGAGTGTCAGCTATCTCATTGCCACTGATGTTGACGTTCCCTGGTATCCATTGTATTTCGACCTTGCACCCTAGTTCACCAAGTCTGCATATGTCGTTGTGCATGACGTCGACCAGGCGTGTGGTACCCTGTCTCTTTTCCAAGATCTCAAGAGCAGATCTTGAGTCTGAGAAGACGACAATATCAAGCCCCGCATGTTCCGACCCTTCCAAAGTGATATTGGCCCTCTCCAGGGCCATGTGCATAGCTATGAGCTCCACGTCAAAATTTTACGCTGTAGTCCCACAAGGCCCCGGATTTTTTCATTAGGTGGTCCACCTACTGGGTACTGAATAAGCGCACCGTACCCAGCAGTTCTTTTCCTAAGATCGGCATAGCCGTCCGTGAACACTTTCACAGGTATGTGTGTGAACACATCCATGGTCTCAAGGGCAGCCACTCTCTGTACATGTTCAGGGCTGCGTTTCGTCACTGCTGCATCAGTCAAGGCCAAATGTATGGAGGGACGTGAGGGTTCCGCATATGGCGGATTAACTGGGATTAGGGTCAGGTGTTCTCTATTTGGGGGCAGGGTGACTGTCCTTTCCAGCTCCATGACTTGGTGCATGAAAGAGGACCTCTTAAGTCTCTTGCCGCCCACCCAGTTATTCTGCATTTGATAGGCTGGTTCATTTTCATCGAGCCATCGGTACCTCTCTACGGTATTTAAAATGGATTTTTCCCTCCTAATTTGTAGCGGTTCTACATTGGCCAGGACTTCTACAGCAGCTGTGGGAGTAGTCCTGTATGCGCCACAGATGAAATCAATCAACAAATACTCCAGAGAGGTTACTCTTCATAACTTGTAAGTGAATAATTAAAATATAATTAATAATATTAATAGCATGGTCTTCATTGTTCCTTCAAAATTTAAAATTCTAGAATATAGGTTACTTTAACAAAATTTAATCAGTATTAACACAATAATATTATTGTTTGGAAAAAAATGATGGAATATAAATTTATACAACTTTTTCTAGACTGATATTTTGAATTTTTAAATTTAAAAAACAAAAAAACTTCTCCAACACATTTTGCAATTAAAGCCATTTTCTACAAGTGTCTTTTTAATTAAATAAATTGCACCAATTTTAGTTCTAGAAGTCTATTTAGGTTATGCAATGACGATTTGTAAAGATTATTATCAATAATAAGTGTATCTCACTAGCAGCTTCTGACAGTGCTGAGTTTCCATTCGGATCTTCACATTCTACAAGAGCCATGATGTGTTTAGTACGTAATGACCTGCCAATGACATCATTGCCTAATCCATTTTTGTCATCAATGTCTGAAACCTTCAACATGTCCAAATATTTGTGAAATTGAATTCCATCACCAATTAGACTTTAAGATTAAAAAAATGAATAGTACATTTTATATGCCTGATTATAAAGTTATAAAAATAGTAACATTATTAAATTATTAACAGAAATATAATTTAATTTATAAAAAGTATACTTAAATTTAAGTGAATGTTAAATAAGTCGTACTTTGTAGACACTGAATAACATAATACAAAACTTCATCTATGTCTTATTTTTAATATATCTTTACCGTGTTATAAAGTTTAAAATTTTTAAATCTAATTAAGTCATGTGACAACTTTACTGCTGTACATATCTGATGTTATTAGGATTAGATCATCGACTTACTTCTCCTTTGTCTTACTGACTTTACCAGCTGACAAAGCTGTCTTCAGTGTAATCAAATTTTATTTTAGTTCAAATAATGTCTTTAAAGTTTGGTTTTCTTTTGGTAGAAATCATCAATGGCAATATTTGACATTAAGCTTTTTTAATGACACAAAACTGTAAACACATATAAAAATTATATTCTTATTTAAATATGTTTATGATACCTCAGTCTGCCCTACAAGTATCTGGTAAACCTGAATTTTGTCAGTATCATCTAAATCTGGGATAATTTGATACCTCTTTCAATATCTGTTTTATTACTCCAACATCACCATCAAAAGCTGCTTCTAGCATTCTCTTCTTTCTTTTAGCTTCCTCTTGTTTTCTTCTTTTCTCTTCTTCCTCCTTTTGGTGCTTTCTTTCTGCTTGTTCCTGCTCCATCTTGACCAAATAATGAAAGGCCTGAAATGAAATTTTTACTGTTTTATGTGATACATGATATTTATGTAGGACTTTTCATGGCACCCTAACTGAAATAAGAAGCTATCTTAATTCATCAAAAATGAAGACTTCATAGGTGCTCAGCATTCACATTATGACAAATTTTTAATCAAGCAGATAATTAACAACAAAAACAAACACAACTTAATTGTTAAGGAAAGCACCAAATTTATGATTTGTTGTAGAACATGCATTTACTTACTATTTCGTATTCAGTCGAAATATGTTGTTTTCAAATATGGATGCAAAATTTAAGTCTGTCTGTATACTGATAATTTTCAATGCAAAAAGTAGACAATTTCAATGAGTTAAATAGCTGAAATATTCAATTTTAATTTTCAATTATTTTTTTTTGCAGATACCAATATATTCTGAAAATATGGACTAACTAAACAGCGCCTTGAGTTGGGGGTGGGGCTAAGCATTTGAAAGAATGTGTTGTCATTGGAAATGAGTCTCTGTGCCAAGTTTCAGCTCATTAGGTTGATGGGAAGTGGGTCAATGAGCCATCTGAAGATTTTGACACACACCCAGACAGAAGAAATAAACCCATGAACAAAGAAAAGTTAATATAAAGGATTTTAAGAACTGAAGTTATTTCAGAAATTCGAGATGCTCAACTAAAAAACTGTCAATCTGAGATCCACCCAATGAGAAGAGTAGGAACACATTAGAAAATATAATGCAAATGTGCAAAGCAGTCCAAGCATAACCTCATAGAGTGGATATCATCTTTTGGCTAAAAAATGTTGAGTAATTTAGTTGTTTAAATAGAATGCTTCCTTCATTCAACAATCTCTTTTGAACTGAACTAAATAGCTGATTATTGACAATTTGGAATATTATATAGTGTAACACATCTACTCTGACATGGCGTGGGATCTTATTTCTTATGCTGTGGGTTATGTCAGTAGTATGGTTACTTATGTTAATACTTCAGGATGCCGACTAAGACTTCTTCATTCTTCCACTTATTATCCAGGCACGCAAATAAGAATACTGAATCCTGGATAAACTTACAGTACTTTATTGAACACACTTTATACTGATAATATTAATGATAATCCTTGCATGAATGTAATTTCACATATATATAGTATTATTCCATCATTCAGAAAGACACGTCCTCACACTACTATAACTCAGCTCAACTGTCTAATCACACAGCTCTCCTAGCTCTACTGTTCTCTCCTGTTCTGCGCTCAGCTCTGACTATCTCAGTCAACTCATACTTTATTACCCGCAAAGCGTGGAAAACAACCACTCTGACAAAAACATAATTTTACTCTCCAAAAACGTGGAGCTCACATTGTCCTCTCAAAATACAATTCATTGTCATCGTGGACAAAACATGGTCAACACCATTCACTGTTCACTCATGCTACCTCTCTGTTTTCATGTGAAAACATTGTCCGTTACATATAGTTGAAGATGTTTTCCCATTGTCGTAATTTATTTATTTATTTAGGCATTTTTATATAGCGCTTACCTTAAAGCTCTAAGCGCTTTACAATTATTAAAAACATGTAAACATGTTATGGTGTAACAATAATTTAAACAAGATTTAGTGGCTGAATACTATGTACTAAGGATTTTAAAAACAAACAGGGTTTTTGGTTTTGAAACTGATAACTGGTTGTTGATTTTCAAAAACTGGTTTTAAAATTATTTTTTTCATGATTAAAAAAATAAGAAAAAAAGAATTTAAATAAATAAATAAAATAATAAACTAATAGTAAATGTATTTTAATGTTTAATAAAATGCTTTAAAAAAAAAAATAAAGATGCTGCATCAGGCATAAAATTGGTTGGCTACTCGCTAATGCTTCTGGTATCTAAACAAGACGCACTCTCTATTGATTTCACCTCACCTATGTGAGCCAGTTGTGACTGAATTTTTTTAAATGGAGAGAGTGGTCACCTTGGGGAAAAAAAACTAAAAATTAGGCCTACAATGATTATCAAAATGTAATTAAATTACTGAGGCTGTTTAAAGGTTCCATACCTCTTTTTCCAGTTGTTCCATTTTTTCCTCATAATCTTGTTTCTCCTTTTTTTTCTTTTCTAGTTGTTTTTTTGCCAAAAACTGGCGAATTTTTTTTTGAATTTTTATGGCAGCCAAATCCTCACGTGTATTTTTTGCTTGCTTTGGCTCATTTTTTTTCTTTTCCTTTGTATCTGGCGTTGATTTTTTGGCCACTGAAAAATACAAAATATAATTATACATTCATAGCAATGCTGCAATCATAATAAATACATGAAGAAATTTTAATATTTTTTTTTACCTGTTCCATTTTTTGATGACAGTGTCTTCTCCTTAGGAGGTGACGGAATTTTTCCACTTGCTTTCACAACAGTTTTGGTCTTTGATGTTGTTGCCTTTAGCGGAATGGGCGCCTTAGGGGGCATCTTGGATTTTTTCTTACTCTTTCAACTGTTTCAATTTAAATTTCTGTATAAAAAATGTTGATAAATAAATTTAAAATTTGATCTTGAAAAAAACACCAAAACCAACCATAAAAGGGTCTTTTTTTAGGACCAACTGTCATTTTTTCTTAATGCCCAAGTTGCTGTCAGCTCAGAAAATAATAGAATTATGACTATGAATGGTAAGGGCATTTCAGTATAAGTCAGACTCCCCTGCAATTTCTTTGATGCAAATGACTATTTAAATGTTTTTGTTTAAAATGAGGGAGAGTTGCTAAATTCTCTTATAGGGTGGACATGAGTATTAAATATTTACGCCATCTTGTAAACAAATGGCAAGATCAAAACAACCATCCATAGACCAATCGGATACAGACAAAAGGAGTGTCCTTGATCTTAGGGTAAAAAAAAGAGAACTCGGTTCAAACAAAAAGCCAAAACTCTTTTCATAATAACAACTCTCACTCAACAAATCAACAGTTATTCTTACCACACAATTATTTGATGAAAGTCTTGATACTGGCTAATTTTAAGGAGCAACAAAAAATCTCAAAAGATTTTCAAGACTGAAAAAAAATGTGTGTCCATGCTAGCACCAATATCTGCTATAATAATCTTTATTACTGCATTTTTCACTGCAATGGTGTGCACTGTTCTCAAAATTTGTAAATTACGATCAGATCACCTGAAGGTGTAAGGAAGGATGACCATGAGTTAATCTTTCTTTACACCCTCTATCACTGGGGCTTGATGGGCAAAGCCATCATTACAAAGGCAATTAATGTTGACATCCTGTATCATTGAGGCTTGTTCGCCAACAACCATCATTACAGAGGCAGTTAATGTTGATGTGTTAAGGTTCATCTCCATATTCCTGAATGGATTTCAAGGAGTTTTCATATTTCTGTCATACATTTGAAGCAAGAGGGCCCTCAGCTTGCACATGGTCCACTATTACACAATTTAAGAGATCTTCAGCATCAACGTATTCACTGTAAACCAACAGCAGTGAAGTCAAAAGCCAGCCTTTCAGATGTCACAACCACCCGAGACATGTCAGGTTGAGTTATATGCTTATCTGGTATGTTTTTGCATCATACCATTCATTTTTTTTCTCATTCCAAAGCATCTTTTCTGGCATACTACAACCATCCAAAGACAAATTGTCGACAGACATAAGGAGTGTTCATAGTTTATGATCTTGGAACAAAAGGAGAGAGCTCTCTTCAAACAAAAAGCCAAGACTCTGTTCAAAATTAATTACAACTCACACTCAAGATATCAAGTTATTCATACCACACAATTATATGACGAAAGTCGTGCTAGAGACTAATTTTAAGGAAAATCAAAAATCTCAAACAAGTATTTAAAAGATTGAAAAATTTTTAGGGTGAATGAAAATCCATTTATTTGGATCAATAAAAGTATCTAAAAGTAAAAGTTAATTGAGATAAGATGTTAACCTCTTAAATGCCTACCATTTTTATATCATAGCATAAATACATGATAGTCAGGGTTGCGAACTTTAAAAAAGGGGGAAATGTTCAAAATTTCCACAATTTTTATGGACTTACACATTTTTTTTGTGGGCACACTTTTACAGTAGACATTGACAATTCCGGTTAAAAGATATGCATGACTAGACTATATTCCTATGACTATATGACTTTAGGACATAAGCCTGTTGTATGACATTCTCATCAACGGTGAATTTCTCCTGATTATGATTATACAAGTTTAAAAGCAAGCAAGAAAAAATCACAAGAAGTGCTTGAAGCACTTAGATTTCCCAATTTTTTATGCATAAAAAGATTTTTTTCCTACAAATTGCAATATCTCATTTTAGGTAAAATTTTCACGGACTGTCCATAAATAAAAATTTACTAAATTTGGAAACCTTGGTGACTTGGTGATAGATTTGCAGGCTACTTTGATCAACTGATAATTACACCAAGTGTTCTAAGCTGAATCAATCTCAATCTTATGGAATGTAGTTCTATACCCAGCAAAGCCTAGACAAGCAAAAAACAACATCAGCACCCCATGTGGATGGGACTCATTAACCTTGGACAGCAACTCATCTAAAAGAAGGCAAACTCTGAAATCAAACCAGGAGATGGAGTCCCATAAGCAGTGTGACATTGACACAATGAAAATTCTGACAACTCCTGTGACATAGAACGCATAATAAAGAGCTCATTAAGACTCAAGAAACTTTGCTGGTCATCCCCTGCATCCTGGTCTATTTCCAGTCATCTTGACTGTCTTAGGCAAGGAAGAGCGAGAGCGAGGCAGAAAAATCTGTCAACTCTCCCTCACTTTAAAGAAAATACAGCTCAAGACAAGGCTACTACTCAAGTCGAATATTGCCTTGCCTTGGTTATCTTCAAACAATAAAACACTTAATCAATCTGAGTCTGAGCCATAATAAGTTCGGCTAC